TTTTTTTTTTTTTTTTAACCTTGCTTTTAGTGATTTATCCACAGATGTAATTGTATCTTGATAGCATTCTGCTGGAAGACTCACTGGCATTGCTACAGGTTCAGGATTGGTGCCTTAATTTATACAAATTATTGTGAATACTGGGAAATGCAAAATGTTGATATATATAAAATATGGTTTCTTATATTTCAGAGGTAACACATGTCAGTTTTTGTGTATGAGCAAAACACACTGATGCAACTTTGGGTTACCTTTTTTCCCAGAAATTAAACTACTCAATAGTGTTTTCACTCATTCTTGGCATAATGGTACTTGAAATGTTCTTGCTGAGCTAATTAACTTGGAGACCACAGTCATAAAAATAACTGTAATTGCATTAGCACTTCGTATTATCTTACTTTATCAGGAAAAGATCCTCAAAGACAGTGAGATTGTCAGTCATTCAAGAGAGTATGCAAATTAGTCATCACTTAAGTGCTTCACTTCACCAACCACCCAGTGGTCACTTGGAGAAAGAACCACATATTCCTAATTTTCCTGAAATGCTGTTTATCAGTATGTCTTGAAAAGCCTCATAGAGTAGCTCAGTGTCATTATTCCCATTGTGCAGATTGGAAAATTATGCAAAGGTGATAAAATGCGTTTCTTCTGCACCAGCAGCCCTGGAAGCCACAGCACTTACCTGGAAAATAAGTTCAGTGTGTCGGCAGTTTAATTGTGCATCTCTGTGATTATACGTTTGCTTTTGTCTATAAAATTAATGCATTACTTTCTTTCATTCAGTTGGGACTCAAAACAGACAGCAGCCTCCTGTTCCTCTGATTTGTGCACAAAAGGCAACAATATCAAGAAAGAGAAATAAAAAGAGAAAACTGCCCCTGAAAACTTTTGAACCAGTTGCAATGAATAAGAAACCCAGCGCTGCAGAGAATGAAAAGAAGCTTTCAGCAAACTCAGAGCGACTGAGTCTGCAAGCGATTGAACCCCCCCCAAAACCCGAAACCCCCGTTTCAGGATTTGGAATTATCCTTGAATCGGCTTCATCAGATGTAAGTTCAAGTTTTAATGCGCAGGATCACGGGATTTTAAAGCACTGACTCATTCAGGAGAATCGGTACTCAAGTCCCATTGATGTGTCTTCCCACTTTTTGTTAGAATAAACAAGCAAAGCCTGGGTAGGGGTGAATGGAGATGTTAGGGTTCGATGAGGGGACTGCTGATTACAAAGTTTGGGGTTTTTTTTCCAATTTTCATGAGCGTGTAGTTCATCCTTGAGTTCAAGGCCCTGGTTCTTTGCGCTTGTAGTGGGAACTTGCTCTTCATCTCTCCCACTGCCAAGAGCCACCATGAGGTGAGGGGCCACGAAAAGAGCTGGGTCTATAAACCATTCACAGGCAGTCATTGCTGTTGAACCCACATAGTAACACGTGTGTATTCGATCTTTGCTGAATCCGATCGTTCAGTCTCCATCACTGTGGTTGCTGGATGAGGGCCCTGACACTGTTGATGATGTCAGCGTGACTAAAGGGGCCAAAATTTGCCTCTCCAAGAATGTCTGCTTTTCCCATATAAAGTTGCAGTAGGCATATTTTCTTGATTCGTGTACAGAGTGATAGGAATTTCAGGTATCTGGTGGCTGATTGGTTTTGTTTAATGACTAAATTGATGTCATCCGAACCAGTTCATCGACGAGTAAACTGGTCGTTAATTTCTCTAATATATTTTTAATTTTGAGCAGACGCTTTCCAATTTCCTAAGTACTATGAACTAGAAAAACATAATTAAATTCAGTATTAATAAGCATAAATGAAAACAATGTAGCAGATAATGTTCTACCTTTCTGGAAGAGGGAACTAATAACAAAAAAGAGCTGTCATAATAATTCACTTACAGAGATGCAAGCCACACCACTAATTAGGTTGCAGTCTCATGCCACAGAGTCAGTGTAGTGATACAGGGTAACTAGATGCTTTTTCAGAGCTTTTCCTTTTGTAGTACTGAGCTTAATAATGTTTGAGGGAAAGGTTTGGGGAGGGGCTGGCGATTTATCTCCAGTATGCAATTTGTGCTTATAATTTTTCTTTGCTTGTGGCACTCTTGTCAGCTTGAAGCACGGTTTTGAAAACAGTTTTGTACTTGCGATGGAATTTAATTTGGCTTTATGAATGTGTTCCATCGCTGGACACGATTCTTTGTAGTTGCCAATTTGACCTAAGGAAAGAGAGAAGAGAAAACGTGGCTCGTAAATCAGGTCCTCATCTGCCCACCCATGCTTGGGCCCCTGCTTGCCACAGTAGCTGCTCGACTAAATTTGCAGAGCCAGAACTCTGAGACAAACAAATTGATTTTGCTTTGTCTTTGGAAAGAAAACATTTGAGTTCTGAAAACAGGTATATTTAATGGGAAAATAAAATGGGACCTTAAACATTTTGAGAAGGCTAAAGAAAGTCACTTCTGTCAGAATGAATGGCAACATTATCTTTTTCTATTTATTCATAAGCATCTCTGGTGTGCTCACCACCAGTGTGTCTGAACGCCTGAAAAAACTGAAAGACATTTTACACAGCACCGTAAATGAATGTTCCCTTGAGGATGTTCCACGGGTTGTCTGTAGTGTGTGCTGTGTCATGCACCACCACCACTGCTGCCACTGCTGCTTTGCCAACGCTTATTGAACTTCAAGAAAAATCCAGGTTTAATGGGTATAAAATTGGGGCTGCCAAAATGAGTGCAATTAGTTCAGACCCGCTGTGATGAAATACTGCTGCTTACAGAGATGGAAAAAGTCTTTGTGAGACCAACCCTTAATCTGGCCCATGGATCAGAGAACCTGCTTTTTAAATGTAATGATCAGTTACTCTTAGTTAAACTTTCTTGTGTTTGTTTTGCAGTTATAGTATGTCCTAATAATTTTTAATCTATGTATTACAAGCTACTAAAAAGTCTAGGATTAAATCTAATTCACTGCCTGTTAATTTTAGCACAGCAGAAGCCTTTGGCATTCAGGTCTTATTTGTTTTATTGTACACAAATAGTTTACCCACCAGTTCCTTATGCATGATCATTATCTACTGACAAGTGCTTTTTCCTTGAGAAATCACATTCAAAGTGATCATAAAGTTCAATTAGTCACTGATTGTCTTTGATTGAAGAATGGTTTACTACTAAAGGAAAGCAAGAATAAATCATCTTTCTGCCTTCAAGTTATTTCACTGATGAAACAAATTGATTCCTGTATTAAGAATAAAATAACCAAAACTAAAATACTGCTGTCTCTTCCATGCTGGTGCAGTGGTAAGGTTTGAAATGTATTTTATGACTGTATTACAGGGTGGTTGGTAACCTGTCAAAGCCTAATGCAGGTGTTCTAAAGTGAACTTGGGGAAGACAGAAACCTCCCACAGAGCAAAAAGCAAAAGGGCAAAAGAAACCACAGGGCAAAAGCTTGCTTGATCTTGATTTTTCAGTATGAATACAGGCCATGAAAGTGGGGCCTCGCAATCCTTCTGGCTTTTTGGGATTTAAGCAGGAGGTGTCAGAAAAGGTACCACAGGAGTAACTGGCCTTTGGTGGTTGCATCAGCGGTGTGGCCAGCAGGACAAGGCAGTGACTGTCCCCCTGTGCTGGGCACTGGTGAGGCCACACAGTCCTGGCGTCAGTCTTGGCCCCTCACTACAAGAAAAACGTTGAAGGGCGGTAGCATGTCCAGAGAAGGGCAGTGGAGCTGGGGGAGGGTCTGGAGCACAGTTCTGATGAGGAGCAGCTGAGAGAGCTGGGGGGGCTCAGCCTGGAGGAGGTTCAGGGATGACCTTCTTGATCTCTACAACTCCCTGACAGGAGGTTGTAGCCAGGTGGGAGTCGGTCTCTTCTCTCGGTTAACAAGCAACAAGACAAGAGAAGGCCTCAGATTGCACCAGGGAAGGTTTAAGTCGGATATTAGGAAACATTTCTTCCCTGAAAGGGTTGTCAAGCCCTGGAACAGGCTGCCCAGGGAAGTGGAGGAGTCACTATCCCTGGAGGTATTTACTAGATGTGTAGATGTGGCACTTGGGGACATGGTTTAGTGGTGGGCTTGGCAGTGCTGGATTAAACATTGGACTTGATAATCTTATGGATCTTTCCCAACCTAAACAATTCTGTGATTAGTGAAGATGATTTGTCTACCCTGGGTGTCTTTGATCCAGGTCATCTTAGATGTCTCCCACAGGACCCAAGTAACAGAACAGGATACCTTCATCACCATGACAACTACATTCTGGGTTTTGATGAACATGAAGTAGGTTTTTTCCCAAGCTGTAAACTTGGCCCACATTTATTTACTCTTGAAAATCTTTTCTGTCACCAGAAAGTTTAGAAGTAACATATTAAAAACCCACCTACATCAGAGTATTGTCAGATGTCAAATAGAGTAACTCTGTTTTGCTGGATCCAGTATTTTGAAAGTTCTCAAGGTAAAAAACAACTTTTCATCCAGAACAAGCTGAGAAACTACATGCTTTTAAGATTTATGTTGTTGTTGTTGTTGTTGTTGTTGTTGCTATCTGCATGTTTTAAGAGTCTTCATCCTGACTTCACAAAGCATTGTAATCTTCATGGCTCAGCACACGTCCATGTCTCATGATGGTACATGCTTTGAAAGTATCCTGCTTGCTATAGCTCTCTTGATAACTGATTTTTAAAAATCCATGGGAAAAGAGTTACACAGCCAAATTGTTCTGAGATTGGCAGCCCTTTCTTCTGTCTAGACTCAAGATGTTTGCAGGTGATTTGATGGGAGATGGCACTTGCTCTTGCTCTGTAAACGTCTTTGAAAATGCGCCATCATTGGTGGATATATTTTCTCATGTGGGAGAAAAAAACCAAGTTCTTAGGAGCAAGGCTGAAATGTTGGCTTATTTTCATCATGACCACGGATTTTTTTCCCTCCTTGCCAGCTTCCAAATAGTACTTTAAAAATTTTAGTTTATTCATGAAATGTCTTCATTCCAGAAATATAATTATTCCATGTAGAAGTCTTACATAAGCATTATGAAGAAAATTCTGCAAACACTGTTCATGTAATTTCTGATATGTACAGACAAGGGCAGCAAAAAGGCTCTTGATAAGGGGACTTCTCAAAGGCCTTGTCTGCTTTGACCCAGAATGTGCTTGAGAGAAGACTCCTGTGAAATAAGCATGGTTGTCTTTCCTCTTCTTCCCCTCTGCCTCACTTTATAACAGTCCTGTAAATCCCTGAGATTTACTGTTGAGGGTTTCTGTGCTGAAATAAGCTGTATGTCTAACACCATCCTCTTCTAAGGATGCATTTTGGGAATATGAAAAGGAGGGAGAAATGGATGCTCAGCAAGGGTGGGCTCCAAGGGCAACCTCAAACTCGTCATCCACCTCTACTCCTGTGGGCTATATCTGCGCTGCAAGCCCTCCTGGGAAACCACGTGGAACGGGCCAGTATCCCTGCACTTGTGCTTCCTGGAAGTGCCTGGCTGCCCCACAGCACTTGGCAGTGAAACAAGTCCATTAAATGGTTAGATAAATGTCTAAAATGCATCGCTTAGGAGCATTGCCCTGGGATGGTCCTCTGGGTTGCCATTATTACCCAGTATTGAAAGATGTCTCTTGTCTTTTTGTTAGCTGCACACCTAGAAATAATGTCAGTAATTGTTAACTATTACAGAGGCCAGACAGATTATTTGATTTGCCTTTTAAGGTGCTTATTCACTGGTGGGGTTTGATTTCAGTGAGTTAGGCTGCTGTGGTCCTGAATAGCTGGGAAAAGATTCATGTTTGGATCACATCATTGTAAAGTCTCACCAGATGCATGATTGAAATAAAACAATGTCTTTGAATGCTCGTTTAATTAAAACATTTGTATTCTTTTGGTAGCCAGAAGTGCAACTTGCAGAAGGCTTTGATGTCTTCATGCCAAAATCTCAGCTGGACTCTATACTATCAAACTACACTCGCTCAGGAAGTCTGCTCTTTAGGAAGCTGGTCTGTGCATTTTTTGATGACAAGACTTTGGCTAACTCTTTACCAAATGGCAAAAGGAAAAGAGGGCTCAATGACAACCGGAAAGGACTAGACCAAAATATTGTGGGTGCAATAAAAGGTATGTTTTCTGCTTTCTTTCATATGTGTAATTAGAACATATTCTCAGCTAAGAAGAGTGTAAGGGGATTAGAATTTCTGACGTGTGTTAGGTCTATTAAAATATGCAGTCTTATTTTTATTCCCTTTCATTCACTTGTTAAAAATAGCTTCTACGGGGACAGCTTGTGTTAATTTTAAGCCAATGATCCTGGTTTCTGAAGTCAGGCTCTAAGGTTAGAAACTCAGTGTTCACATAAGATAATTACTTTTTTCCCCCGTATATCAGAGATGCAAAGAAATCTTGAAAACATAATGACAGCGTAACTGATACCCTTCAATCAAAATTCTGAGTCTTGCACTGCATCTGACTGTGTCTGTTCTGTAAATTGTTAGCAGTAGGTGGCTGGATTGGGGAGAGATGGAGGAAGGTAATGCTGGGGCTGAGATGAATTTTATGCTCTTAAGAACTGGTGATCGTTCTCCTCAGGGAGCAAATTTCTTGGTCGGTGTGAGCATCCTGTGCTGGGTGTTTTTTCTTAGTGACCGCTGCTTTAAAGCTTCCAAATAACACATGTACCTTCAAACTCTGTGATCACAGTGTACAAAGAGCTAGTATTAGGCCAGAGGTTCTGAACTGCATTCTATTTATTTTGAAATCTGATATTGTAGGGAAGATACCCGAGTTACCAAGAAAACAGTCTGTGTTGCAAAGTGAAGCTTATTTTAGAGGCTGTGACTCATCCTCAGGTACAGATTGCTTACTTAGGAGACACAGGGCAATGAGAACAGTCTCTGGTTTGTGTGTTGGCAGCAAAAGGAGGCAGGAGAACCTTTTGCAACCGCCTCTCTGCCAACTTTTGGACCCCTCTCCCCATGAAAGAAAGACACTGACATACTGGCTTGAGTCCAGTGGAGGGCCACCAAGACTTACAGTACTAAAGCAGGGAAGTGGTGAAGTGTCACAGGTGGAGAGAACTGGAGAGAAGGTGATTCAGGAGAAACCTTATTGCTCTCCACAACTGCCTAGTGGGATGGTGTAGAGAAGATGGAGTCAGACTCTTCTCAGAGGCACAAGAAGCACTCGACACGTGGAAAATTGCAACGTGAAGGCTGGACATGAAGGCCTTCAGAGGACCTTTCCAAGCTGTTCGATTCTGCAACAAAGTATATGTTGGGCCCATGTCTTAGCCTTATGCATTTTACAGAGTAGCTGGCAGACTTTCTTACAGTTACGCTTGTAATCAGGTTTAAGTCACAGACATTGTTTTGTACCTTCCTTTCTTGAGCTCAATAATCTGCAAAAATCGGAGTCTGATTTCACTCTATCTCATTCTTCATTAAAAGCTTTAATAAATAAGTTAAATGGAAGAAGAAGTATTCCAAATTACTATTTTTTTTTTAAATAACACTCTAGTTTGAACAGCACTCAATAAAAGAAATGTTTTACAGTCATTGCAGGAGCACTATTAAAGTAGCAGCCATCACCCCCTGCAGAGAGCAATGTTTCTGAGTAGCTAAGCCCACATTACTGGAGCAAATTCTGAGGCTTGGCTTAACCCTCTTGGCTGGAGTTTGGGAGAAGAAAGAGAGGAGTTGTAGTTCCAGGAGACGAATTTCATTTGTAATGGTACTATGAGGAACCACTGTAATAACAGTGTTCTTTATTGGCATTTACAGTATTGCCCAAACGCTGCTGCCTGATTCCTGATAGGGAAGCCCATCCCTAAAAGCTGTGATGGAATAAGATGCCAAGAGCTGACGTCCTGTGGATCTTTACTGAGTCTGGCTCCAATAGCACCCTTCTTCCCTTCGTGGAGCTGGGCTGTCACACACTGTGGTTTCATTTATTCCAAGAAATAACTGAGCCAGTATGAAATCTCTGCAGGAACAACATCATGTTGTTTGCATTATTATCATTAGCACATTCCTCTACCACGTGCCCAGATACCCTTCAGTGGCACTTCTGGTCCTTTTCCATGACAGAGATACAAAAGCCTACATTCATGACAAAAAAGTGCAGGGAATTTAAAGGAAGGACTGTTTGCTTGAAAATTACTCTTCCTGTCTGAAAACATTTTCACTGCCATCCTTACAAGTAATTTAATGCTTCTGCAACAGGATGATTAGCCAGGGAGCAATTCTCTCTTTTGACTTTGGGTATTCAGTGGCACTTGTTGAATCAGTTGCAGTGTTTCTCCTGGGCAATCAGCTTCCCTTGTGTGCTGCACCAGTCTTTCACTCAGAACTGAGGGGGGAAAAAAAAGAGATGAAAAAATAAAAATAATCAGAAGCAGTTATTTTTCCTTTATGTTGTTGACTAGGAATTCAGCCAGTGAAATCCTTCCCTGCAGAAATCAATGAGCTGTGTTCAGATATATAAGTGTGATGTATCCCTCAGGAATCCATAGTGGAACCAATGCTATCCAATATTTTCATCAGTAACAGACAGTGGTTTCTGGGGCACCCTCAGCAAGTTTGCAATGACACCAGGCTGAGTGGTGCAGTTGATTTCCCAGAGGGAAGGGATGCCATCCAGAGGGACCTTGGCAGGTGTGTGGAATTGGTCCATATGAACCATGTTTAACAAGGCCAAGTGCAAGGCCTGCACCTGAGTCAGGGCAATGCCCAGTGTCAGAACAGACTGAGGGATGAAGGGATTGAAAACAGCCCTGCAGAGAAGGACTTGGAGGTACTGATGGACAAAAAATTAGATAGGAGCCAGCAATGTGCACTCACAGCTCAGAAAGCCAACCGCATCCTGTGCTGCATCACCAGCAGCGTGGGCAGCAGGTCAAGGGAGGTGATTCTGTCCCTCTGCTCCACTCTGGTGAGACTCCACTTGCAGTGCTGCATCGAGCTCTGGGGTCCTCAGCACAGGAAAGGCATGGACCTGTTGGAAGGAGTTCAGAGGAGGGTCACAACAGACGATCAGAGGCCTGGAGCACCTCTTCTGTGAAGGCAGGATGAGAGAGCTAAGGTTGTTCAGCCTGGAGAAGAGAAGGCTCTGGGGAGACCTTATTGTGACCTTTTAATATAAAAAGGGGTCTTGTAAGAAAGGTGAGGATGGATATTTTACCAAAGCCTGTAGTGACAGGACAAGGGAGCAATAGAATCATAGAACTGAAAGACAGTAGGCTTAGATTGGACATGAGGAAGACTTTTTTGGGGTTTGGGTTTTTTTTGTGATGAGGATGGTGAGGCACTGGCAGAGTTTACCCAGAGAGGCTGTGGCTGCCCCTTACCTTGAAGTGTTCAGTGTCAGCTTGGCTAGGGCTTTGAGCAACTTGATGAAGTGCAGGATGTCCCTGCCCATGGCAGGGGGATTGGACTAGACGATCTTCAAAGTGCCCTTTCAACTCAAACCGGTCTCTGTTTCTATGACAGAGCGATTGTTAACACTGTTCAGCTCAGATGGACTAGAAAGGGCAGGTCACACTTCTCCTGCCTCCTTGCTATTCAGTTGTGTCCACATTGGTCTTCCCCTTAACCACACATTGAGCAATCAAGGCTCTTTTGCCTTTCATTCAAGAAAAGAACAAACAAGTTAGTGAAGAGAAGGAGGTTAACATCCTGGCTCTCCAAGATTGCCAGACTCTGGCTCACTGTACAGGAAACAGGGGGGCAGGAGTCGTAATTCCCACGGGGGGCACCTGTGGCAGATTGTCCCCAGGCCCTGGTCACGAGCAGGAACTGCAGCTGCAGTCATAAGTCATTGATCAGGTTCCTGTTGTGTCAGGTACCGTGTGGATTCAGAAGGGAAGGGTTATTTCTGCCTTCAGAAAGACGGTGATTGTTGCAAGTCAGGCACTGTGAATGTGTGGGGATGTACTGACTTCTCTAGGCAGCCCTCAGAGTTGGTCTGACATCCTTGCAGATCAGACCGCAGAGGAAAGCATTGCTAAGGCCTGTCATGCCATGGTTTTGTGAAGTTGTTAACGTGGAAGGAGGTTGCAAGGGGGGGTATTGCTCTTGGTTCCTTTACACTTAGCAGCTGGCACTGCTTCAGAAGTGTGTGTATAAAAATACTGAAATTGTCTCTTTCTTGCTGCATGTTTCCTTATCCCATTTATGTGACATTTATTCTCAAGGATTACAAATTCCTTGAGCTGGGACCAGTTTTCTCTCTTTGTTTGCCAGTCATAATTGGACACTGGGCTCTGAGACCTCTGACCAAGACTGTGGTATCAATACTAACAGCAATAACATTTTTTCTATTTCTGCTCCTGTTTATTTTTTTGCACACCTCTCAGTTGCATGATGAAAATCAATTGCATTGGTTTCACTCCTTTTATAATGTTGTATTTTTGGTATAACATTGTTAGGTTTGCTGTAAATATGGATTTAAAGATAATGTTGACCTTCTCTGTACCGCTTTTACAAAATACAAAATTGGACCTGTAGGATATTTCTTTTTTCTCAGTAATGGTGCTTTTTTTTTTTTTTTTTTAAGTAGGTTTATAAAAATTCTGTTCTGTCTGGCTTTGCAGTATAAGATCTGTGATTTCCACAGTGGTAGGACTTCAGTCCTTCATCACTTTGCCTGCAGCCTTAGGAACCTGACCAAGAGGTCACCAAATGAGCAGATCTTCAGGTCTCTACCTGTACCATATGGAAGGCAGCATTTACAAGTGCCTGCCACACTTGAGACTGAATTCAAAGTTCACTGTTATTTTTCTGTGATCATTTTGTGTGAAATTCTACACATCAGGTGTAGAACGTTTCTCTGGGACAGGCTTTTATATGTAGTAACTATGGCACTACTGTGATGTTTATGCACCCAAATGACTTCTGAATTATGAACTTGTGAAACGCTGAGTTAGGCTTTATTCCCACAGTCCTGGATTTGGCCATTAAAATTCTTTTTCATTAGTGAATAACTTGATATATATTGATTACAGTCCTCTTCTCCAGTCTCCTTTTCTCCTTTCTGCTGGCACGTTTCAAAAAGGTGGTATCTTTTTATTTCAGTCTTTACAGAAAAATACTGCACTGCTAACCATGTGGATAAACTTCCTGGTCCTAGGGACTGGGTCCAGATTCTTCAGGATCAAATTAAACTGGCAAGAAGACGATTAAAAAGAGGCTCAGGTATGTATAAAGACATGGGGAACAACATGTAAGATTAAAAGCTTAGAGCCTGTGTATCCACGGAAGTGTTTTTCCTGTTGGCTGTAGTGTTGTACTTGTTCACTTTATGAAAATTAGACCTCTAACACTTCATCAGGTTTCCGTGTACAGTGTTTCCTTGGTTTTGGAATGGTAGTAAGTTTAGGAGCTGTCTTTGCAGACAAGTTAACTTGGCGTCTTTTTCTAACTCCTTTCCATTAACACCCAAACCCTTCTTCTCACAAGTATGACTCCTAAACTAGCTGATCCATCCAGGGTGGAAGTTTTATAATTCCATGTTATTTGGTTTGACAAGCCACTCACTGCAATGTTAAGACATAACCCAACTGACCTTTTCTCTAAACTATGTGTCTGGGAGGACAGATGAGTCTTCTCACATTCCTGGTGAAAGAATCAGCATCACTCTAGCAAAAAAAACACCCACCCACCCACCCAGGTTGTGCCAGCAAGGTTCTGCAATACGTGAGAGGCAGCTTGCCAGCAGTGAGTAACAGGTAATCTAGGCAGGCTTTTGCAGCAAAGCTGCTCCACTTGGGCTGGGATAGCCTGGATGCTTGGGGCTGGGACCAGCCTGCAGTGGAGCTCAGCACTGAGCTTTCAGCCCCAGCCACCAACAGCAACGTGCAGTCTCGAAATCCCCAGCAGAGCTCTGGGAGAGCAGTGTCACTGATTGAGAGACGTGTAATTACCTTACAAACCACAACTAGTCTCCTTCCTGTCTTCGTGCCTCCAATCCTACGAGGGGCTTTCTTCCCACAAGGCTTCACTTACTCTTCCTCATCCTGCTCTTTCCCTAAGACTCCGTCAGGGTTGTATTTCTTGCCTGTCTCTCCCTCGGCACATCTGACACTGTTTTCTGAGGCAGGTCACTTGTGCCAGCGTCATTAAACACGGTCCTTCACTGTTACTGTATTTAGCTGCCTGCCTTTTCCCCTCTTCCCTGCTGCCCATCACCACAATTAAGTGCCTGTTAGCCTCTGTGAGCTGATGGGGTGGAAAACCTGATGGCTCCGCAGGGGATGCTCACCCCCTGGTCCCTCGTGGTGAGCGAGACCACAGGAAATGTCGTCTCCAGCTCCCTGTCTCCCAGAGCCAGTATTTTCTGTCCAAAGCTGCATCTCTGAAGCACACACACTTAGGCTGGCATCTGAAATCATTCTCCACAACGTTATTAATGCCAGGAGGGAAAAGCATAAGACTGAAGAAAATGAGAAACACCCAGAGACAGAAATAACACAGGGGGAGGAAAAAAGTGCAGATTATTCGGTAGCATAAGCTTCCCTGGGTAGAGAAGCAAACCAGCACTGGCCTTAAAAAGGGTTTCTTGTGTGTGTTGGGGGAGGGAGGACAGGGGGATACAAGATAATCTTGTTAAAGGCAGTGTCAGATTACTGGTGTTGTACAACAGGATTGCTTTCTGCCCCTTCCAAGGCTGCCTGTCACCCCCCAGGACAGGAGGGTGGGAGTGGGATGTCAGGCTTCAATATGTGAAGGGTGCAGTGCAGGATGTGGGAAGCAAAGGGTCCTTGGGCTGTCTGCAGACGATCCCTCAGGAAAGAGGATTGACCTAATTTTGTTTTGATTTTTATTTTCTTTCATCCTTTTTTATTTGCTTTTCTTCGTGCCTCTGCAGGATGTTAATTAAAATGACAATGACATTCAGCTTTTGCCTTACAAATGGGGCCACCTCCATCTCTGGTCCTTGCTGGGGATGGGAGAATCTAAGCAGAGGATATTGTCTCTAAGCTAGCAAGACTGAAGGAAAATATGTGAAGCTGAGTATAGTGTGACAGGATCAGATAGGCTCCACTGTCTCTGCCTGCAGAGGGAAGGTAACTCGTTCGCTGTATGTGGATGAGTAGTGAGCAGCAATGTACCTAGCAGCCTCTCAGGTTTACTCGCTGAAAAAAACCTACACAGTCCCTGGATTGGTAGAAAAACTCTTTTTTGTGTGTTGTTTAGTTTACTGGCCAATCCTTGAAGCGCCACAGTTTCTCTCTGACTTGTAGCCACAGGCAGACATGCTCTTTTCAGTGTAGCAGGAGTGACTGAACACACTACTTGGCCCTCTGCACCCTTCCATCCCCTGCCACCTCCACTGGTGGCTTAAGCTAACCCAAGCTGACCTTACACTGAGGCAAAGGAGGTGTTTCCAAGACCTTTGTGACAGCAAAGCACTAGATCTGAGCAGAGAGGCAGGAGCAGACAGCTGGTTGCAGTAACATCCTCATCTTGTTGAAGTAAGATTTGTTGGTATTTTTATGTTACAACTGTGAGCTTCTGATTTTAGTAATCTAGTGCTGATGAGGTGGCAGATCCATCCAGTCCCATATCTTGTGTCCACAGATGGCTGTAAGCAGAAGCCTGGGGAGGTCTGTAGGGCTGGTTGAAACGTTTGCTAGCCTAATCTCTCAGCCCTCAGCAGCTTTATCCTGATGTAAAACTGCACAATTTAACTATTCATTGTGAAACCACACCAAAATTGTGTGTAACTTACAGAGACCAAAACAGGACGGGAGGGTAGCGTGGAGGGAGGTTTGACCTTGTGGGAGAGGTTGTTTGAGGGCTCCATGTTGCAAAACTTAGCTTTTAAGAATTTTAAAACTGTGGGAATTGCAGCCACTGGGGTGTGGGATTGATCACTCTTCTGGCTGAGCTGTTGAGCTCTTCCAGGCTGCTTGTGGCTGGTGGAGCAGGGGCTGAGCCTCCCTGAGTGAGTGTCCTCATGTCCACACTCACAGGTCATTCCCTTTCACTTTTGCCTCTGCTTGCTCACTGAAACATGTGCTGAGCCTGTAGGTACAGAATGAGGTGCCCAAAGAACAAATCTGAGCCAACATTACTCTAACTTCACCCAGGACTTTCTGAGACAGTGTGTCTCCCTGCTGCCTGATCACAGTTACTTGTCTACATCAGTCCCTGGTTTGTCATAACACACAGGCTTTATATGGAGAAAGCTTAAGATGGTCCATTTATTTTACAGAAGCCACAAGACAACTTTTTAGTCAGCACTATATTGAGCTAAATTTTAAGAGCAGACATATTTAAGAGAGGAGGGGCAGACTTTCCATCCTGCTTGCCTTCCCCTGAGCCATTCAGTACATCCTCTGATTACTTTTTCATTTCAAACCAGGCAGTAGGACACGGCATTCATGAGCAACCCTCTCCACTTTATCCTGTGAAACATTATTTCAGTCTGAAAACGTAAATCCTGCTCTAGCATTCAGTGATATTATAATTTCAGGGAATTCTAGCAAATGAATGGGGTGGATCTGCTTTTCGTACTCCTTTCTATAGGGTGTACTCCCATGAGTGTTTTCAAATCAAATGAAATCATGATCTCTGGATCATAGATGCTGCCCAGCTTCAACCTTATTTATCATGTTTGGCTCATCTAGAATTAGGGACTGAAAAAGCTCCCTACTTGGAAAGCTAATCAAAAAAAAACACTTAAAATTTCTGCTTTCTAGAAAATAGTTCCCCTGTGTAGATTTTGAAAGGTTATTATCCTAAGCCAAATAAAAATTCATTTAAGTTCTGACTCAGTGACAATATTTTTCATAGCTGGAAATACTCTTTCTTTTTTTAAATTTATTTATTTTGCTTTGGCTTTTTCTTAGTTCTTTTAGATTATTGCCTGAGATCTGAGACTTGGGTAGGGTTTTTTTTTATTTGTTAGATCTGAGAATAAAGCTGTCACTGCCATTAAATTTTTATTGGCCTTGTTCAGTCTTTTCAAAATTTCTGAAGTTGGCTGTCACAAAGGGGAGAAGAGACTGCGAGGTTAATGTTACAAACAGATGTTATAATTAAAATTAAAGAGTATGATAATATTCTTCAGCCTTGACTGCTGGTCCCACGTCATGCCAATAGCACAGCACGCTGTAGCTTCATAGTGCCAGGTCTGTCTTCTCCCAGGAGAGGAGCTGAACCGTTGTGGTGGATGGGATGGGATGCAGAATGGCCCTGGAAGGGAAGAAGTGAAAGGAAGAGGTAGGTGGGTAGGTTTCCTCTCTTAAAGCAGCGTGAATTACAATGCAAATTGCCTTTTAAGAGGGATCTTAAACCTGGTGAAATCAGAAGGAACTGACTGGCTGTTCCTGTCACCTCTGTGCCAGACAGAGCATTCCAGCCTTTTGATTACTAAACTCTCCATCCATTAATAAGCAACAGGTCAGGGGCCACACGTCTGCCACAGTAAGTTCTTCCTCCCTTTTTATGTTTTGAAGAGCCCAGGAGCCTTTATTCCATAGCAGCTGTCCATGGTGAGAGAGGAAAGCTGATACCGTGTGGGTAACATGTAACAACAATATGTAAATAATCCCATGGTGGGATTCTTGGGGCTGTCCTGTGCAGAGCCAGGAGTTGGACTTGGATGGTCCTTGTGGGCCCCTTCCAACTCAGGATATTCTGTGATTTTATTCTAATACTGCCGAAGTTACACAGGGTAGGAGCTGTTCGTGCAAAGTGATTGACTTGTGCATTACCTGGAAACTTTGGATTGCCCTACTCCTTCAAGGAAAGTATGGCAATGTCAGAAAATATGCTGAAATTTTTCTGACAGTATTAATTTAAATAAATTACGTGCCGTGGCGCTTCGTTCTTGAATCGTTGTTTAAAATTAACACCTTGTTGCAGTGTAAAATAGTGGGAAAGAAGGAGAAAAAAAGAGTTTACTTGTTTTTCTGGAAATATGCCTTTTCTCCCATGTCCTTGTTCAAACTGCTGCTTCCATTGTTTTGCATGAGGTTGGGTTTTTTTTTTCTTTCTCTGCTGATTCCCTGGTTTGTGCTTTTGACACAATATATACATGCTGCAAGAAATCAGCAATACACCCAGGGCCAAGGAAGGATGTAGGATGAAGCCCAACATGCGGTACAGTGTGTTTATGGCCAGTATTTTAGATAAAAACAGCGATATTAAAATGAGTAACTGCTATATTCAACTTCCCAGCCCTGGGCACACATGTGCATCTGTCCAAAGAGCAAAGCAGCAAGTGTACACTTAACAGGCAAACATGTACGTCAGAAGCTACCCAGTTTGGGTGCAACCTAAGGAAACAACTACCAGGGTGGTTGTGCAAGAACTACTGAACTCTGTCTAAGCAAAGGACAGACAAGAGGCTCTGAATTCCCACAGTAGGATCTACTCCTGCGTGCCTTGTCTTGCAAGCTGGCCCAAGACAAGTGAGATTTGGCTGACAGTCTGTGGGTGCGGTTGTCAAAGGCAAACCTTCTTTCCTGCTTGGAATGACATGTGAGAAGCTGGTGTTTTATATCCATGTTTGGAGGTCAAGGTGTTTGTCATTCCTTTGTGTCGTACTTCACCTGGAGCTGCAGTTACACATCCAGTTTGATAAAACAAATTCTGGCAGCTGCTGAGAAGAGTGAGTAGCTCCCTGGGCATCTACTGTGCTCCCACTCCCTTTCTGGCGCTGGCACAGGCATTCCTGTGGCCATGTTGTCAGTTTTTAACTGGATCTTGTCTTGGTGACTGTATAAACATTTGTGCTGGCACGAGGAACGAGACTGGAACAATTGGTGGAGAGCTGAACTTCATCTCAGTCTTGTGCTGGACTAAAATGGCCAGGTAACTTCTGGTTCTGCAGAGTCAGAGACTTGAGTCTTTATCTTCTGAAAGCAAGGTAGTTCCTCACTTGCATTTGTTTCTTTCTGTATTACTGCCTTCCTCTGAGTTCAGTGTTAGCCAGGTGTAAGAGCAGTCAGGCAGAAAGGTGACCACATCTAGAGCTGCCTCAAGTGTCACTGCAGAGACTTCCAGAAAAGCTGTCGCTTGAGTGGGCAGCCTTTGTTGGCACCAGCCCTGATATTCGTAGAGGGAAGGCTCTCCAGTCCATTGCCAGCACTCAGATCCTGCTTCCCCCATTTTCATAGCTTAGGTCCTTTCAACCCAAGGGGCCAGGTACAGCATTGTCTCTTGCATGCTGAGTTGCTGTGCCACAGAATCACCTGGGGCAGGTAGTTCTTCACAACATAGCTAGAAGTTTGGCCTCAGATTGACACTGTGGATTTTTTAAGGTGTGTATATCCTGCTGGCTGATTCTCAGCCGCTTGTGGCACCGTGCTGTCTCCTCCCTTGCACATCCAGTCCTTCCATCACTGAGAGTCTGGTCCAGATTCAAACCAGCCTAGGGAACCTCTTCCCATTTAATGAGCCCATCCCTTCCAAAATTAAGTGTTTTCACAGGGAGCTGTACTGAATTTGTTTCTACCCAGTGTGCCACCTTCTCACAAAAAGCAGAAAACAGTATTGACTCAAGGCACGGAGTCACTTGCAGGTCTGTGCTGTGAACTTGTCAGGACTCTGCACTTAAACCTCCTTCTGTGGGAGGAAAGCTACTTAGTACTAGAGTTCCTAGTTTGTTCATGTTTTCTTTAGTAATTAATTTTGCAGAACTGAGTAGAGACCATATAGCTAAAAAGTAAACTGACATTCAGGCACATGGGAGAGACAGCAGCCTCTTGGTCCAGGGATGGATTGCCAGTGGTTCATGGATTACATTAGGAAACTGGTTTGGATTAGGATCTGGATTAGTTCTTACAATGTCGTCATAAAGGCAGCAATTCAACGTCCTCATGTGCAGAACCACAATGGTAAAGATGACCAGGACACTTACCTTAGTTTCAAGTGGGAGCTGAACTGAGCTGCTCAGGGCATCTGCAGCCTTGGTCAGATTTGATCCCTATGGATATTGTGCAGTGAATGGATGTGAATAGATGTTTATCCACCCACTGACCATGTACAGTGTAATTGATAAATTTAAACTAAAAGAGGATTGATGTAGATTATACGTGAGAAAGAAGATTTTACAGTGAGGGTGGTAAGACACTGGGTCAGGTTGCCCAGAGAGGTGGTAGATGCCCCATGCCTGGAAACATTAGAGTTCAGGTTGGACAGGGCTCTGAGCAACCTGATCTAGTTCAAGCTGCCCCTGCTCATTGCAGAGGGGCTAGACTGGGAGACCTTTAAGGTCTCTTCCAACCCAGACCATTCTATGATTCAGTGATAATGGGCTTGTCCTTTGTGACCACACCTAGTTTGCTGAAGATCTCATTGTGCTATAAAAGCCTTAAATATCATGCTGCAGTGCAAAAGACAAAGGTAATAGGGCTTTGGATAGGGCTTGTGTAGGTTAGGCACCGATTTCCTGTTACACACCTATGACTTACTCAGGGTTCATGTGCACCATCCCAGTACTACAACCTGACAAGTCCCTGCACATCTGCTGAGTGCAATGAGCTATCTTTATGCATACCCTTGGCCTCTGGCAAACGGGAGATGAACAAATTAGGCTTTCAGCCTTCCTTCACCGTGGGCCAAATTAAGTCAAATGGTCTTGCATAAGCTGTGGGTTGAAAGCACGTGTGTGTACATACACAGTAATTGCCTGCATGGTTATGTGCCTTTTTTAATTACCCTGGGCACCCCCCTGTATCTTTGAGGACATTTTGCCCTCATAAATCTGGCCCCTGCAAAATGAGCCTGCCTGTGGCCACAGGAAGTCTGGGTGCAGAAAGGGGGGTGTTCACCCTTTTTTGGGTGCAGAAATGGGGGTGTCCACCCTTTCCCTGCAGGCATGGGGTGATGGCAGCTGTGGAAGGGTGGAGTTCCAGCCTGGCAGGCTCTTCCTCCAAGGACCACTGAGGGTTTTCCTTGTGACTTTATCAAACGATCGCAACTCCTTTTATCATAGGGATATCCTGAAAACCTTGAAAAGAGCAAGTTTTGCTCTATCCCATTGCTGGCACAACTGCTTTGTAATACCCAACTCCCTCTTCTGAGTTTGCATTTTTATTATATGACCTTTTCCTCCAAGCGGTGAGTTTTTAACTGAGCCCTTGCAAATTGCAGCTGAGGAAAGTAGATAGAAAATGCAAAATCGCTCTACAGTCTGTAGCTTTTTAATCGCATTCCCCTATTCAGTGAAAGTAATGAGATTTCTTGTTTATATTTGTAATCAGCAGAGGCAACTGACTGTGATGAGAAGCCGGACATTTCTCTACTACAAACAGGTAAAATGCATTAAAATTTTTATCAGCCTCCAGTATGTGTGTTTGTTTATTTATGGCACAGAAGCAGTTTTCAGTAATCCTGGTGTGCCGTGTACAGCTGGGTAATTGCACCCAGGACTCTGCTCTCTAAAGTTTTGAGTGGCCTGTATTAAAAAACAAATGCATCGGAATCTTGAAATTTCACCCTCAATTTCATATTCATAAAACCCCAAGGTGCATGGGAGCAGCTAAGCTAATAAGGCCAGTAAGTTACCCTTCTTATGCCAGATAGGGACTTGTGCTCATCCCTGATATTTCTGGGAGTACTTTTTATTCCTTAACAGAGTTATCAGTAGGGACAAACACAATAATTTGTAATGTGTTCAGCATCTGTTCAGTTGTCCAAGGTATTAACAATAATATCTTGGACTCACAGAAGGATTGCAGAGATATTTATATGCTAGTTAAGTGTTGGTTTACTTATTCTTGGAAGTGCAGCCACCCTGCCTTAAAAGCCTGACAGTTGCTAAACAGCAGCTTGGCTTTGCAGCTGTGTGGACCGGGAAATAACATATTTGTACACTGTTGCATTTGGTGTTGAAATCAAGACAGGCCAAGACTGACATTTGAAGCACCGTCTCATTAAGAGTCAGTCCCTCAATAGGTGCCCTGATGGCAGGAGCTGAGCTGCCACCCTCTGAGAATCCAGTGGGGCCGGAGTCTGGGGAGATGGTCATTTCCCTGCAGTGTCACCGAGATGCTGCCCCTTTCCCCAAAGCCAAATTAAAAGGAGGGAGGCTCTTGAGCAGACAAATAGAGTCATGGATTATACTGCAGTTTTATGTTATTTCTAGGGTGCAACAATGAAGGGTGGTTGGAGATACACGATTCCATTGCTGTGAGGAGCAGGACAGGTCTGATAACTGGGGTTGCTGAGCGCATGGCACGGTACCTGACAGCTGTGGGGAGGACGGGAGACCACGAGTAACCATCGCAGCATCTGTCTCTTGTGCGAGGGCTCCCTAATCCCTAATTGCCCTAGGGCTGGAGAAGGAGCTCTTGCACACTGCGCTGTGTGCAGGAGCGGCAGCTGCCAGCCGTGGAGCGCTGTCGGAGCACGTGCAGTTACTAAGGAATAGGACCAGCGGAGCAGTTGGGAGGACAAGCAGCTTTAGTCTGGTTCTGGCATGGCCCCAGCGGGGGCTGGGAGCACGCGCTGCCTGGGAGCTGCCGCGCTGCTTTCCTGGCCAGCCGCTGAATAACATTTCAGGGTGCGCTCCTGATAATGGATGCAGGAAGCTCTGGCTTGAAAGGTCTCTTCCAAGTGACATCCTGTTCGTTTCTTTCATCAGGGAGGGAAGCAATTCCGCTGCGAGAGGACCCTCATAAAGGTTGTTAATGCGACGCAGTGTTATCTTTTCATCGCTCTGGTAATCGCATTAAGGAGCAGAATTAGCGGTTTGCTGCGCGTTTCTTTGAGCGCAGCTTCTGTACTTACTACTTGTGTCGCACATCAGGGATGGAAATGAGGGTGCTGAGGGGGTTGTGGTAGGGAAGACGACTCCCTTTCCTCTCCACAGCGGATCACCATTGTGATCTGCTTGCTTGTGCTCCTTAGAGCATCCGTGCATGCAGTTTCTGAGCTGAAACACTTGTTTGTGATGCGTTCTACTCCACAGTACCCCTGGAAGAATGCCTAAATAAATAAACCACAGTGCAGTTTGCACTGGGGGGAAGTGATGCTCACAGGCTGTAAGCCAAGTGTTTGACTCACACCCGTTATTATATGTGTGCAAGTGCCTCTTTATACTACATACCCATGTCATATCATACTGTTGTTGGAAGCAAAATATCTTAAGTGATATACAGACAGTATAATGACAGTAATTATTATGAGTCAAAATACAGATGCTTTCTATCAAGGAATGTAGCAAAAGAGGTGGGATATGAGTTTTACAGAGGTTTTCCCCTGTTTTAGTACAGCTGGTTTTATAAAGGAGTGTTACTGACAGATTCCTTAAAGAAGAATTCGTTCAGGTGTCTTCTCTGTTTGGCTTGAAAAATCTTCGGGGAAAAGTCTCTCTGACTATGTGTTTGTGCAGTGCCTTGGTTGCAGATAAATCATGCACTCGGGAAAAATTTCTTCCCTGAAAGGCTTTTTCAGCATTGAAACAGGGTGCCCAGGGAAGTGGTGGAGTCACTGCCCCTGGAGGGATTCAAAAAGCATGTAGGTGTGGCACTTGGACACGTGGTTATTGGTGGGCTTGGCAGTGCTGGACTTGATGATCTGGAGGGTCTTTTCCAACCTAAATGATCAGTGATCAGGGGTTAACCTGGTATGTTGGTACAACAAAACCAGAGTGAATTGGATTGCTTGAGGTGATCTTGCAGGAGACTGGATGGGGAGAAATGTTGGGGTTCAGAAGCTATCTGTGAGTGGTTGCTGTCTTGATCTTCTGTAACTGAAAAGACTTGTAAAGGAAAAGCACCCAGAGAGAATTATTTGAATCAATGGCAAATGTTGGTGCCAAAAAGAAGAAAAACTCAGATACCTTTAATCTGCCTGTCCCGCTCTCTGAGTCCTGACTGCTTCCAAAGGGAGGGTCAGGTCAGCTCCAGTCATGTTTGGAGGTGTCTCTCCTTTGATGTTGGCAGGACCAGGCTCTGAGAGCAGTTCATTGGTGCAGGTGCACCCAGCCTGGTTCAAACCAGCTCCCTCAATTACCAAAGTGCCCACAATTAGCAAAGTCCTGGGCTTTGAGGAGTTCAGGGGGTGTTTTGTTTTCAGAACTCTATTTTGGAACTCAAAAGCCTGGTAAAAAAAAGGAGCTGGTACATCCTCATAAAACTAAGGAAGACATTTTTTCCCAATTATATTTTAGCGCTTCTGAGCAGAAATGATGCTCCTGTTGTAAAATCATCCTCCACGCTAAGAGGGCCTTGGCTTTAAAGGCTGTTGATTGAAGGGTGTTTAAAGTAAATTGGAAGAACTGTGGCAGTTAAACTTGCTGGGAACTTTGGTCCTTTGACAGATAAATCTTAAGAAAATACTAGAATTGTCTGTAACAAATGTTATCAAAGCTCAGGTCTTTGCACCTACGAAAAGCTGAAGGCTGTGTCCAGAGCTGAGCTGAGACAGATCAGACAGCTCTGGGGGTAATTACTGTGGGCTAAATGGAAAGACTGAGTGGTTTCCCAGTGATACAGGATACCTGGAAGGTGTGAGATAGATCTTTATCAGGATGACAATGTGGCAGCTTTTGGAGTCTTTCTGTGTTGGTATTGCAAAAAGGCTCATCTTATTTTGGTCTACAGTTTCGGTGAAAGGTCTGAATTTTGTGTTTGAAAAGGAAGGCATAACCCATCAGTTCTGCACGTGAAAACAAATGTAAGCCAGCTGCAACAGCCTTTTCTTGAATCCTCATCTCAAAAATCCGATTTGAAAGATACAGGCAGATATAGGACCATGAGGGAGCCTTCCTTACCTCTGCCTTGGACCACAGCTGTGCTGAGAATTTGTGTAGTTTCTCCACACTGGGGTTAATTTCAAGATGAGAAATAATTTTGATATCCCTAAAGGAAGCTGAAACACTAACATCCCAATCCTCGGGTCTAGGGGTGATACAGCTTTGTGAAAAGATGAGAGCAATCTCCTGGTAAAGAAACAGATGATAAGAAAACAGCAACAATCCAGTTCTATACAGGTTGTCTCCTTTTCTCTTGAAATACAATATCAAGAAAACGAAACTTGGGGGAGAAAAAAAGAAAAACCCTTTTTGAAACCTTAAATATAAATCCTTTATTGTAATATAAATCTTTATCCTTTCAATGCATGATTGTATGAGTCTTCCCTTTTCATTTGGGTGCATTTGCCTCTCAGGCTGATTGATGTCTGTCTTCTGTTTGCCCTGTGTTCTTAGCGCTCTCATCATAATTCTTCTGTCCATCTTTTCATTGTTCTGTTTAGAAAAAGCATATTCTTAAAGCGCTTTAAAAAAGATGGGATATAATCATACTGTGCACCTTTTATATGTATATATTAAAAAATAAATATATATATGTATGTATTCTCCCATATGCATTTAAACTGCTGTGGAGGGGGGTTTTTGTTGGTTTTTTGTGTTTTTTTTTTCCAAATAAGATCCCGAAGTATGTACTCCGGGTTTAAAATTCATGTGGTGCTTTTTTCACTTCTTCAGAACCGTTAACTTCAAAGGGGTGAGCGTCGCAGTGCAGTTTGTGCCAGAGCCTAGTGCAGCGCTGGAATGGGCTGCACTTTGTGTCGTGTGAAAAACTTGGCTGGCAAATTTTGTATTCAAAAAAAAATCTATTTAATTTGCTTTTCTTTAGCCAATTGAGCTCTACTCTAAATGGAACTCAGCAGCCACTGCCTGTGTGCACACCAGAAGTTCAGCCCCATCACAGAATTAAAGTTAAAACTCAAATACGTAATTACCATAATTCTAAAATGGCAACTTTTTTTGTGGCAAATTACTGATACCTTAAATTTCTGTGTTTTTTTTTTTTTAACCTATGTCTTCAAATTCTTTCCCCCTCCAGGTAACCTTTTTGACACCACAACAGACCATCTGCTAGATGCAAACCCGGATTTTTCAGTTTGAGTTTCACATCAGTGTTCTTAGCGGATAGAAACACCCTCTCCTGTCGATACCATTCCTGCAAGCTCGGCGTGAGAACACTGCAGGACGTGGGCATCCACACAGCTTTCCTTACGAGTTTCTGTTGTTTCCATGCATTTTCCATGTAAAACCGCCGGATTGCTTCGCTGTTCTTCATCTTAATTGAAGGTGATTTCCCTCGTATCCAATGCATTACTGAATTAGCGGGGCATCCACTCTGAAGTCATTCTCTTGCCTTTGTTTTTCCTCCATGATTGTATTTTTCCACGTGATTGTATGCTTGCCAGCAGTGTTTCATCTTAAGCCACGCAGAAGTGGTGACTCTTCCTGTCCCCAGGGACCAGGGTGGCATCTCTCTCCATCCCAAACCCTGGGGGCTCGATGAGCACTTGATTTGCCGAAGCTCTTTGCTTCTGCAGACCCGCTTTTCCTTTCCTGGCTGCTGCGGTACCAATGACCAGTCGTCCACAGCTGTGATTAAAAAAAGTCCTCGCTGGATTTAGGTGGAAATAAAGCAGGATTCCTCCCAGCAGTCTCCCAGTTACAGCAAGGAGAAGCTATTCCTCAGTTTCCCCTCCGTGGTCCTAGTGCGGTGGTTCTCGAGCATCTTTGCAGAGCAGATTGCTGGAGGTGGTTGTTCTCCCCTCACCGTTCCCCCCAGCTTGCCCTACCACCTCAATCTCAAAATGTATTAATCTCTCAATTTCCAGGAAGAGGGTCTGCTCACTGTGATTTTTCAGCCACTGCCCTTGGAGACAATATTCACCTGTTTTTTAAAAAAAAGAAAAAGTCACCTTTCGACTGGCACTGTATTGATATCTCAGCAGCTGAGTGAATCGATCAAGAAATTGCACTACCCTCTTAGACGTGGAAAGGGTCAGTCCTTTCAGGTCAGGGCTGAGGTAAAACTGTACACAGCCCTCCGTGCGAACCTTCACTTCTGCACCTTTCATCAGCACTAAATTCACTTTAAAAATGTCGGGAAAAAAAATCTAGAAGGTCTTACCTGCAACGCCTGTCGATCACCAGGTAGTTTGAGCATGTTTGCTGCAATTCGAGGGACAGCTTGCTAGAGCCTTTACCATTGTGTTTCCTTTCCCTGTGTGTATCTTAGGTACATTTGGTTTGTTTGGTTTTTTGTTTGTTTTTTTGGAAACTATTTGGCCTTTTGAGTGTCTCAACAGAAGTGCTATTACACAGTGGGATGGTTTTCAAAATACTTAATCTTTTTTTTTTTTTTTTTTTAATAACAACCCCAAAGCCCGTTTCTCAGATGTCGTAGAATACCCACAAATAACACTGAAGCCAACGGGAATGGTTTGTTCTCTCGGCTCCTGAGAAACGAGGCTCCCAGTCCCTCCCCACCCACCTTCCGTGGACTTTTAGGAATGACCATATTCTCTCTGAAACTGTGGAATAGATTGAATGTGCACTGCAAACCTTAAATTTTGAGTCTTTCCTTCCTTCGTGGCTTGGAGCTGCCTGCGCAGGGCAGGGGGCTCCAGTCCGTCGTGTCTGTATCGTAACCCTTCAGCAAGGAAATCAGCATTTTGTAAATTTGGAAGATTGCATTTGTGTTTACTTACTGTGACTACTGTTCAGACTTTCTTCAGAAATCTTTTTATAGGGTTTATTAGAGAGAAGAAAAAAAAAATCATTCCATATTTAGGTAAAAATGTCTCAATCTTCTGTATATATGTTTTATTAATATGTAAATATTTAGATATTTTTAAATTACTATGTTCTTAATAAAGCGACAAGGGACTAGTTGTGAAATGGTGTATAACATTGTGTCGTGTTGCCGATCTCTGGGAAATCCTCTTTGTCAGTTCAGAAAAGAAAACCTACAATAAATAACTTTAATTGCATGTGTGTTCCTGTGTTCTGTGCTGGATTCACGTATTTTAGAGGAATTACCTGGCAATTAGCGGACTATACAGGGAAGAGTCTAGGAAAACCTTAAAAGTTTCCACCACAGTGCTGTTTTTCCAGCTGGCTCAGCCGGAAACCATGCTCCCTGCCAATCACAACAACATCTATATCCAATCACATAATAACTCTTGAGTATTAAGTACTGATATGCTTGAAGTCTAATTTTAATTGAATTAGGTGCCTTTGTAATCTGCACTTAAAAGGTTAAGCTCTGCTTCTATGGAAACAACACAAGGGAAGGACAAACCAACACTCGTAATTTGGAGTAGCTGCAAAGATATATGCTTGGTAATTCATTATCACACCCTCATCAAATGTTGTTCAGCCTTAGAAAATATTTCCTGCAAAAACACGTTCCTGGTAATCTTCCATCAACTACAAGGAGCCAGTGGAGTGAAAGAGTGGCTCGCCACACCTTTTTGGCTTTATGTAAGGAGTGCTAGGGAAACACTGCTGGTAAGAAGTGCGGTGAGAGTTCCCTTTACATTTTGGTGCCTGCACAGATCAGCTGGAGCCGGGTGCCTGCGTTGCATCCGTGTGGCATGGCATGAGTTAGTCCAGGCCCTCCCTGTATGGAAAGAGCAGCTAAGCCATAGGTCACAGGGTGGTTTGGGTTGGAAAGGACCTTTAAAGTTCCATCCCCACTGCCATGGGCAGAGACATCTTGCACTAGACCAGGTTTCCCAAAGCCCCATCCAACCTGGCCTTGAACACTTCCAGGGATGGGGCATTCACAGCTTCTCTGGGCAACCTGTGCCAGTGCCTCACCACCCTCACAGTGAAGAATTTCTTCCTAATATCTAATCTAAACCTACTCTCTTTTCCTTTAAAACTGTTTTCCTGTCACTGCAGGCCCCAGTAAAAAGTCCCTCTCCATCTTTCTTATGACTCCACTTTAAGTATTGAAAAGCTGCTTCAATGACTCCCCAGAGCCTTTTCTTCTCCAGGCTGAGAAACCCCAACTCTCTCACCCTTTCTCCACAGGAGAGGTGCTACAGCTCTCTCATTATCTTTGTGGCCTCCTCTGGACCTGCTCCAGCAAGTTTGTATCTGTCTTATAGTGGGAACCCCGGAGTTGGACACAGCATTTTAGGTGGGGTCTCACCAGAGCCAGTTAGAGGGGCAGATTCACCTCCCTCGACCCGCTGGCCACAATTGGTGTGACGCAGCCTGGGATACGGCTGGATTTCTAGGCTGTGAGTGCACGTTGATGGGTCATGTCCAGTTTTATATTCATTTATCCATCCATCCCCAGTCATCTAATCGTGGAATCCTTTAGATTGGTAAAGACCCTTAAGATCAGTTCCAACCATTAACCATCACTGCCAACCCCACCACTAAATCGTGTCCCCAGGTGCCACATCTACACATCTTTTAAATACCTCCAGGGCTGGTGACTCCTCCGCTTCCCTGGGCAGCCTGTGCCAGTGCTTGACAACCCTTTCAGGGAAGAAATTCTTCTTAATATCCAATCTAAACCTCCCCCCATGCCATTTCCACTTGTCCTGTGTCTTGTTAGTTGGGAGAAGAGACCGACCCCCATCTGGCTACAGCCTCCTTTCAGGGAGTTTTAGGGAGTGACAAGGTCCTCCCTGAGCCTCTTTTTCTCCAGCCTAGACACCCCCAGCTCCCTCATCTGCTTCTCATCAGGCTTGTGCTCTCCAGACCCTTCCCCAGCTCCACTGCCCTTCTCTGGACACGCTCCAGCACCTCAATATTTTTCTTGTAGGAAGGGCTCCAAAACTGAATCCAGGATTCAAAGTGCAGCCTCAGGTGCCAAGTACAGGACAACAATCACTGCCCTGGTCATGCTGGACACACCATTGCTGATACAGGCCAGGCTGCTGAAGTGTGGCTTTGTTTGTTTGTTTGTTTTTAACCAGTGAACACACTGCTATTTGTAACATTTAAGTGGAGCATCCTAAATTGTGTTTAAGGTACAATTATGAGCAAGAAATGTTGCTGTGTGCTGCGATTTGCAAGGCACTAAATCTCATCTGTGCTGCAAAGCCACCGGAATGTACTGCTGCCAGGCTGCAGTTCCACCTGTTGAAACAGCTTTTGGATGGAGCCAGTGCCATCATCAGCACCCACACATGAGCTCCAGCCCATCTCCAGCATCCTTGCTGGGCCCTTCATCCCTCTGTCCTGCGTGCAGGACACTGGAGATTAATAATTTGGGTGAAAAAAATCCTTCTGAAGCTGAAGAGGAAAAAGGATATCGTCCTGGTAACATGAAAGGAAACTGGAGCCTGGGCTTTATAAAAAATGCATTAATTGCGAGACAAGAAGAAAGTCATCTCAGGTGCCTGTGACATGTTGGTTTAGAAACGGCTGGCTGAGTCTTTTGGGGGGAAACACAGGCTGTCACATCAGAGTGGTTCGGGGATGGGTGGTCCTGATGCAGCCACTCCTCCAGTAGAGAAACCTTCACCCCCAAAAACCTCCCCTCTGCTGAGGCCTCACTGGGAAGCACATCTCTCCTTTGCTGGGGAAGGGAGGGGACGTGGTCCTAGGAAAAAAAAACGCATGGGGCCTCCTAGAGAAACAGATGTAGCCAGGATTTTGCAAGAAAAGCAACCCCCTTGTGCCTGTTCTCCCCTAAATCTAAAGGAGCAAAATTCTTTAGGAGGTGCCGAGATAGCCTTCTACCTCCACTGGCTCTCCCACTGCTCGAGCATCCACACAGCTGGGCTGGGGCGAGCACCTTCACCCCTTGCTGCCACACTGTCATCACAGAGAGGCACAAGAGAGGTTTGTACAAGTAGGTCAGGTATGATTTCTCATCCGTCGACTGCTAATAAAAGCCACCGATGTGAAACCTATAACATTATGTGTATAAATAATTTAGCTCTGGTGTGTAAACATCAATTCTGGGCTTAAAAGAACCCATAATAATTCCATGAGCTTTTTCTCCTCCCCTCCATGCATATGTTGTTATGCCTGACTGCTAGTGAGGGCAGAAAATAGATGATCATGGGGGATTTTGGAAATGGGGGACACAAACCTTTGAGTTTCTGCACTGGCTCCTTCCTCCACCCAGATCCTCTGAGGTATAGAGGAATCCAACATAACCACATTTTAATGTGTTCACAACACCACAGTTGCCCCCGAAGCTACCAACCAGCATGGGGTGAAGAGGTTCATCCACCTCTGCCCAGCAGGAGCCATCACAGGTGGGAGAACCACAGTGGCCTGTGACTCCTTCTGGAGCCCGGCGTGGGGCAAGCTTGGGGTGGCAGCCATCACCGTGCCCAGGGATGTCCCCTGGTCGTGTCCATCACCGGCTCACTCAGGAGAAATGCCATTTTCAGGTGATGCCTGGGCAGGTCAGGGTGGGTGGAAAAGGCCAATCCATGTAGCCCTGCCATCCACTGACCTTCAGGTGGCCTGGAGGACCTTCCCCTGCCCTAGGGTGGTTCAGCAAACCATCATGTGGATGGCACATGCACACACTGGGAGGTGCTCCTGCCCTCCAACAAAGGAAATGGGTCCAGGAGACTTCAAAAGCAGCCTCACTGGCATCAGTGCTTCCACTCCACAGTACCCCCGCTCTGCTTTCGCCCCATGCCCAGCACTGGCCCAGAGTCACCAGGTGAAAGTGAGCATGGGCTGGAGAGGGACGAGGGGGCACTTGCATGTCAGGACAGTGTGAGCTGTGCCAGCTGCCCGGCGAGTCACCGTGAAGTCAGCGCGGATGGCTCTGGACTGGAACCAGCATGTGGCTACTGCCATTACTGCGGCTTAGAGAAAGCAAAGATTATTGTAATCATTTAATCCCGAGAGATTTCAGGATTCACCGACTGTATCTCATGTCTCCATTCATCACGGCACGGGGGATGTGTGTAAACTGCTCTGCTCTTAGCTGGACCTCTGCTCCCTCCTGATTTCCCTTTCCCTGAGCTCCTGTACGTGCACTCAGAGCCCAGCTCTCCCTGTTGCCACATCCCTGACTCCTGACACAGCTGTGGCGGGTCCTGCCCACAGCATCCAACCCACTTTTTGGCTGGTGACACCATCCACCCTTTGTTTTTCTTGATTTTTCCTAGTGATGGCTCAGTCCCCAAAGCCCAGACAGCTCCAACTCCCTGACCTGATGCTGGCAGCAGCAGTAGGTTATCCGCTTCCTACATCTTCTTCCACCCTGCCTGTACCGGGATGATGCTGTGGGGAGAGCCAAAGGCAGACAGACTGGGCTGGACATCCTGCAGGGAATGGGGTTTACCTCAGGGTTAGAAACAACCTTTGCCTGCATAAAATTGGCCCAACCCCCACAGTCTGGCCAGAGAACAGGACAGCATCAGTGACACCTGGTGACTCACAATGTATTTGCCCTTTCTGTCCCTCTGGTCCAGGATACCACACAGGATCTGACATCACAGAGACACCCCGATTGGGGATCCTGCTGCCCTCGCTCCCTCCCCCAGGGCTAAAACACAGGCAGAGGCTCCTGAGCAGCCCATGGCCACCCTGAACACCCAGGTGCTGCTGCCAGTCCCCAGGAAGGGGAGTCAGGACATGGCAGAGGATGTGCTGCATCCCACAGAGATGGAGTTTTGGGTGCTGCCGCCAGACCTCCTCCATCTCCTGGCTCCTCTGCTCAGCAGGGCTTCTTCACCTTCCTGGCTTCATCACCTGGACAGCATAGAGTGCCAAACCCCGGTGCATTAACACAGATTTTGCATTTAACATTCATTACAGACATGAGCTCCTTCACTGCCCTCCACTGAGCGTGATGGATCATTCCCCATCTCTCATTTAAGGTCTCCTTGGGGAAGACCCCCTGCCTTGGCCATGGGTCACCCCCATGCATGCAGGCCCCCAGCACCCATCCCAGAGGAGGGGCATCCCTGGGGATTGCCCTGACCCAGGTACAGCACCTTGTACTTGGCTTTGTTGAACCTCATGATGCTCACCTGGACCCACTCCTCATGCTTGCC